TCCTGTTGAGATCTCTTCAACTTTTCCTCTTTGACCCAGGGCTGACCAAAAATTATCTCTGCTTTACAGTGTGTGAAAATTTTTTTTACAAAAATAAGCCATTTAAGGATACGTTAGTCTGTCATGGAAGAAAGGCAAAATAATTGAGAGGTACATTAGTCCCTCTGACCTGGGAATGAACAAGAGAAATCACAGGTGGGGCTGCTACCCTAAATCAATGAGTGCGTCGCGTTTTTTGGTTTGGTAAATCCACCCAGGTTTTTCCCTAGGAGTCTGGCTTTAATATTTTTCTGCCTCTTTAAGATTGGGAAACCACCCAGGCCTCCCAGCTCTTGGCAAGCAACAGATTGACTTCATGTTGTTACTCAGCACTTTGTTTCTTATTGAAATGCCAGGCTCTGCACAACCGGTTTGTAAAGTCTGAAGATCCTCTGGGTGTGCCCAGAAACATAGCCTCAGGAACAGAGAACTAAAAAGGACAGAGTGAGAACAGGAAAGAGGCTTTACAGCTCTGAGCAGCTTGAATCAAGCCCATGTCAACAGCCTAGACTCTTGTCAATCCTTAGAGCCTCTTCTCTCTCTTCTGTTGGTTGCAATCTCACCTGCTCTTCGGAGAGCAACTACTGCTACCTTCTCCAGGCCAGTTTAGTCTGTTCTTCTGCGTTTCTTATGACACCTCTGTTTATTTATTTTTTTGGTCTTACTTACTAGTCTTTCTTGTACCATACTTATTTTGGCATGCCTTAGCCGTGTATATTTCCTTCCTGGACTATAAGCGTCCTGGACCATTAGAGTGACCCAGTTAGTTTCCCTCCCTCTTCCTTAGCATAATGCCTTGCACTTGATTAAACAAAGATCTGAGAATGCTGAGTCATGCACAACTACCTTCCTTGGGCGGACCTCAGTTACTCCTGGGTTTGTCATAGCTTCAGCAAAGGCAGTAGTCTCCTAGGGTTGCCATGGCCTATAGGAATCTCCACGTAGGTGTACCCTATCATGAAAGAGTTTCCGAACGCATTGTGGGGTTTAAAAAAACGTCTAAAGTAGTATATTTATTGTGATCCTTTTCCTGGGTAAAAAAAAAACAAAACAAAAAATAACTTCTGTGTAAAATGTGTGTACATACACCTGGAAAAAATGTTTAGACAAATAATTTGGGTAATTATGTCTCCCATAGCTAGTGTCCATAACAAGAATTGGATATAGCGCAATTTCCTAATTGTGAAACATTATTTATATGAGCCATTGTTGGTAATAATTAGAACTAATCAGAACTAGCATCATCAGAATAGAGAAAAAGTTCCTACTTACCGTGGCTATTACAGATGGTGCTACAAACAAGTGCACAGCAGAAGTGGTAGGACATCAGAGGGTTCTGACTATGTGGGGTAAAGGGCAAGGAAGGAAGAGTCTGTGCTTGTTATTATAGTTCTTGATGCACCACTTCTTTTTAAAGCTGGCAATAACCAAATACACTTGTGGCTATAAAAACTCATTTATTATTGAATTACTATAGAAAAAAACCTGTTCTGTGAGTCTACAGCTTTCTGCTCTCATTAAAATATGTCTTAAATCTTGGTTTTGAGTTTAAATGTGATTTATTTTTGATAGGAGATCCATTCATAAAGGACAAAACCTAAAGGTACCTAGTAGTATATCTGTAATGAAAAATTTCTCTTCCCCAGCCAACCCTCTCCAGTCTCGCTCGGTGTTACTTACCATTTATGGTTTTTGATAATTTGAGATTTCTTAGAAAATACACCTATTTTGCCAATGGTGAATAACTATATGCTACATTATAAAATATAAAATGAGTGTCCATGGGATTATAGGAAGTATTTATGTCTTTATAGCTTTCAGGATAAAGTTTTTCCCATTAAGTGAAAAATTTAAAGATAATTTCCAAAACCACTTTGTCAAACTGACAGACCTCCTGTCTGTATTGTCATTGTTTCTAAATAACACCATTTCTCTGCCCCAGGCCTTAGGCATGGTTAACAGTATAGCTAATACCTTGTGGACAAAAAAAAAACAAAACATATCTAAGTCACATTCTGAAGCAAAACCTCTCAAATCTCCACTGGGACTTCGGCATATTACTTGATGCATACTAATTAAATCAAAATAACTAATTAATATCTAATATGCTTGATCCACTGAAGATGTTTAAAGTAATAGCAACAAAAACAATAATAAATTCTTAAGAGACATTGACCTTGCTGGGATGGGTAGGAAAAGGTCGTATTTATTTTTTAAATGAGATTTTTAAAAAATCTTGATAACCAAAGGTAGGATACAAGGTAATGAACACATTTAAGTTATATAAATATGAATTTTAAGCTACTTTTACTCTGCCTGGAGTCAAGTGTTCCTCCAGGGCTGTTCCAGGGGTGAGAATTTGGGCAACAGACCATTTATCCATAAATATAACTTCTCTTCCTTGGAGCAGTCTTAGGCCCAGAAACTGTCAGCTCTGGTCTTGCTGTTATGCTGTCTATACATTCAACCCCCAGTTTTACTTATTGTGCTTTCTCTCCTACATTCTCTCCTCCTTCCCTTGTTCTTAATCTATCTTCATTTTTTTTTTCCTTGTAGGAGGCTAACGTAAACCTAGGGTGGTAGAGTTGAGTGGGCACTGACCTAGGACCTAGGGAGCCAGGATTCTTGTCCTCTAAACTAGGTACCTTATACATGTCACTTTAATTCTCTGCTCCTTCATTCTTCCACTCAACAAATATTTGTTGAGCTCCCATCATATGCTAGAGACTGTTCTAGGTCCTAGGAGATGAACACAAAATAAGGTGCACTTTGGGACTATGCACCTGGCCCCCCTGCCTGTCCCTGAGGAAGTCGGATTTCAGGACAACAGAGGAAGCAATGAGTGGGCACAAGCCTGTGGCACTCCCCACGGAGGCAGCATGCTAAATGTGGGCACCGTGAAGACAGAGGAACCCCAGAGCAGAAGGCAGGGTGTGCAGAAGTGAAATAATGCTGTTGGATGGTGTCAGGGAGTAAAGGTGGCAGCGGTGATTTGGCTCTATGTCCTGGATCATACAAGCGGTTGTGAGAGCTTCCAGGGTCAGAACACAAAGCCAGTGTATACACGTGGGGTGGAGTATCAGGTGAAGCATGTAGCATGGTTTGTTATTATAAACTGCTGACTGTCAAAGTGTCACAAGAACATAGGCTCGCTTTGGGCGTTGGGTAAGAGAGAGTAAGTTTGGAAGTCAAGGAGAGTCCAGTGAATCCGGAACACATCATTTTATGAAATTTACCCCTTAGTTCTATGGGGTAAGGGGCTCTTTCTCTCCTTAGGACCTCGCATTCCTTATGCTATGACACTTACTGGATGAATGTATGAATGAAATAGTTTATGGAATTTGGAAGTATTATAGGGAGCATATCCTTGGCAGACAATTGAGAGAGATTTGTAATGAGGAACTGAGCAGTTTACCTCATAAAATAATGACATCTAAAACATTGTGACAGGTAGGGTGTTCTTAACAGTTTTACTCATCCAGAGGGTTCACTTTGAGCTGAGATGGTGTAAAACGTTGGAGGGGTGGAGGGCAGCCCTGTTCCAGCCTGTCTCCAGGACACAAGGAGGTGGCTCTCCCACAAGAGTGAAGGCCTGGGAATGCAGGTCACTGGCTGATGAAAATGGGCACTGGGTGGGGGCAGAAAGAGGGTGAGGCTTGGAATCCATGATTAGAAGATAGAGTTTCATTTTCACATTTTGTGCTTTACTTTTGGCTAAGCCAACGATTTTCTGAGGCTCCACTTCCTTTTTTGTAAAACAAGGATAAGCTGTGCCACCTTTTACCTCTGTTCTAAATTTCTTCCTTTTAGAAAATTTTCTTGTGTTGGGGCACCTGAGTGGCTCAGTTGTTTGAGTATCCAACTCTTGGTTTTGGTTCAGTTCATGAACTCCCAATGGTGACATCAAGCCCTGTTGGGCTCTGTGAGTCTGCTTGGGATTCTCTTTCTCTCTTTTTCTCCCTCTGCTCCTCCCCCTGCTCATGTCCCCCCCCAAAAAAAATACAAGTAAATAAATCTTTTTTTTTTTAATTTTTATTTACTTATGATAGTCACAGAGAGAGAGAGAGGCAGAGACACAGGCAGAGGGAGAAGCAGGCTCCGTGCACCGGGAGCCTGACATGGGATTCGATCCTGATCGTGCCCTGGGCCAAATGCAGGCGCCAAACCGCTGCGCCACCCAGGGATCCCAATACATCTTTTTTTTTTAAAAAAAAGAAAATTTTCTTGTGTTAGAAATTTCCTTGGATAGATACACTGTCCTTTTAAAGCATAAATACACCCTGTAGGGCCAAGTCTTTCCATCACAGGAAGCACAAAGTATCTTGTCACTCGAACTTCAAATAGATTTGTCGCCTTACTGGAGACAGGGAGGCCTCTTAATTGGGCTTCTCTGGATTGAGAGTAAACATCCAGGAAATGACTAGTGGACAGCATACAAGTATCTGTGCAGATAACAATACAAGGAATCTGTTCACGGCTTTCTCAGGCATGATCAGAAGAGACAGCAAGTCACCTCATGGTGGTTGCAGTCCAGCCTCTAGCAGAGAACAAAGTTAGGGGTTTCTCCTGGCAAAGGAAGAGCTGGGGGTGGGGGGGGGGGGGAGATTCCAGATTGGAAGAAAGCCAGACAGATGTGACTTTAAATCCTGGCTGTGCTTTTCCTGATAACCCTTGTTTCTTTTCATCTGTAAAATAGTAATTATATTTAACTAAAAATATTGTTAGGAGGATTAAAATAAAAGATATATGTCAATTCCTGGCATAATGTAAATACTCAGTAGATGATAGAAAATGTTATTTATTTTGAAGAGTCTCCTATGAAGATTAGTAAACTAATAGCTGAAAGTGGAGAAGCCCGGAGACGAGTCAGAGAGGAGGAGCTGGGCTGGGGTCTGAGGTAATAATGAGATTTTTTTGCCAGGAGGCTGTGTTGCATCAGCAAGTAATGCAGATTTTAATAGGTCGTCTTAAAGACTGGACACCCGACTGGTCGAAATGTGCAGTTTGGCTGGGATCTGGATGGGACAGGTAATCTTGCAGGTAAGCCTAGAAGTCTGATTTGTAGGCCCTTCTGTATACTCAGGACAAAAAAGGGGAGAAGGGAAGCAAGATTTTCTGGGTCTTAATGACAAAGTCCAGACATAACTAATTCATACCAGAAACACAGTCAGAAAATCAAGTTTATAAGAAAAATTGAGTGAATGTTAAATGGTATCTGAGAAATGTAGTTCTTTGACCCCAAACTCTTTAGCCTCTACCATTAGACTCCAGTGAGGTTTAGATTCTGATATTGCCTCACAAAGTGGGTGACATATACTCTTGTTTTCCCAAGACAGAAATAACTTTCTTTAGGATAAAACTAACACATAGTCCTTGCAAAATAAATACATAAATAATATAGGAAAGCATAAAGCATAAAGAAAGTATAAAATCTATGCTTTTATATTAATATATATGCTGATATATCCTTCTGTATAGGTGAAACAAACACCGGGACACCCCTGGAGCAGGACCCACACTCATTGGGACCAGACCAGACCCCAGTAACTTTACTACAAGATGACGGGGGCACTGAGTCCCAAAGCAAGGAAAGACATGACTTAGAGTGGGAATCCCTTTGTCTCCCCTCATGCCAGAGCAGTTCAGCCCCCATCACTGGGACCTACCCTCCCAACTGAGTCCCAACCACCTGAAGGTGGGTTATGTTCCTCTGGCTAGCCCACCTCTATTAAAAGTAAAAAATTATTTTAATTTTTATTTGATTACCAGTGAAGTAACACTTCTTGTGAATTAGTCATCTCCACTAGTGTGAATTGCTTACTTTACTCTTATCCTTCAAAATATTATTTAACTAATAGGTTACTTGCTTTTTTCCTTACAGATTTTTAAAAGGGTTTTGTGTAACAAGATATTAAGTCTTTGTCTTCTATTCCACTCTTCCTCTGGTTTGTCGTCTGTCTTTTCACTGTACGCTATTCTTTCTCACAGGAATTTTATGGTTTTGCTTTTATCTCCATTTCAGTCAGTATTTCCACTCTCTAAATGCCCTACAGAATCAGATAGGAGAGCCTAAAGATTCAAAATCATGATGCTGGAAATAAAAGGTTGGACAAAGATACAAGGCTCTAAATATAACCATCAGGTGAATGGAACAGACAATAGGGGCTGAGGATCTTGTAGCTTCATAAATTCAGGGAAGTCCTAAGACCACACACTGTAGGTTTAGATGAACTGTTTGAATCCTGGTTCTGTCAGTTACTAATGGGAAGGAATTGGGAAATTTGCTTAACTGTATCTCCATCTCCTCACCTGTAAAGTTTGGGATTTTTGTGTAGGGTGTAGGAATATTGTCAAGTTTCTGGCTTCTGTAAGCTCTCAATAACTGTTAACTGTTCTTGAAACCTGAGGGTTTTTAGGGCCTGGCCTATTGAAGAAGTAGGACTAGAACTCATCCAAGGAGGAGCATGAAGGAGACGAGACTAGAAGAGGGAGAAAATTTGAAGCCAGCGGCCCTGAGGATCCACACAAGATTGAGATCCACACGGCTGGGAGCTCTGATGGATGTTGCAGGAGTTACCTGGACGAGTGGCCCTGAAGGTGGCCATGGAGTATGTGTAAAAGAGAGGGAAAGCAACAACCAGAGAAAGAAAACAAAGGAAAGATTGAGCTGGAAAAGAGAAGAAAGAACTCATCAGAATTTCCTGTAGGATGGGCAATTTTAAGCAAAAAGAAGAAACTGGATGAAAATGTCTCAGCCACCGCGTGAAAGGAAAGCAAATTCAAGCTGCAGTAAAAAACAAACAAAAGCTGCCAACAATTGGTACTGACATCAAAATGAAGGCAAAACTTGCCCCAGCACCCCTGCCCCAGAATGGCTAAAATGGGAATGACTGGTAGTAACAAGTATTGGAACCAAAGGACTTGCTGCTGGTAGGGGTATGAATGTGGACAGGTCCTTTGGAAGACTGTTTGACAGGGTCTGCTCCAGCTGAACACACTCACTACCCGGCACCCAGCAGCTCCGCTAGGAGGTGGTCACCAAACAGAAACGTGTATATTCGGTTCACCAACAGACATGCACGTTACTAGCAGCACTAATCATAAAAATCCCCAGCTGGGAACTACCCAAATGCCCATCCACTGAGGATGGATAGACACACTGTGTCTGTCCTCCCGGGGAGACCGCACAGCTATGTGGATGCAGGAGTCACGGCAACATGAATGATTCTCACCAAACTGAACAAAAGCAATGGACACTAAAGAGTGCTCATGTGTGATTCCATGGGATTCCATTTATACGCAGTTCAAAAACAGGCAACACTAATTTTGCTGTTAGATGTTGTCTTAGTTGGTTCTGGCTGCTGTAACAGAATGCCACCGACTGGGTGGATGAAACAACAAACATTTATTTCTTATGGTTCCAGAGGCTGGGGAGTTCAAGATTAGGGCACCGGCAGATGCAATGTCCAGTGAGAACCTGCTTCCTGGCTTACAGACAGTGTCTTTTGGCTGTGTCCTCACATGGCAGAGGCAGCAAGGGAGCTCCCTGGGGTCTTCTTCATAAGGGCATTAATTCCAATCGATTTTAAAGGCCAACATCCAAATACCATTCCAGTGGGGACTAGATTTTTAACAGATGAATTTGAGAAGGACATTCAATCTACAGCAGAAGCCAAAATATGGTTATTTGGGGGGGGGGGGTTATTCTGTTGACTAAAAGGGGCATGAAGCTAAGAGAGAGTTTGCTCTTTGGATGTGTTGGCATTGTTCAAGCTCTTAATTTGGGTGATGACTACTTGTGGATGTTCAACTTGTAAAAATTTATCAAAGTGCACACTTACTGCATTTTATGTATTTAATTCTTCAATAAAAATTTAAAAATATTTGCCTATATTAGACAATAAAAATTACTGGACACCCTTTGTTTACTTATAGAAGGCGTAGCTGCTTGTAGTCAGCTTTATGTTGGTATAGACACAGATTTTGATTCTCATTTTCCATATTTATAAAATCTGTATGATAGTACCTTTTTCACACTAAATAACATAGGCAGACAAGCTTTGAAAGTGATGCAATTGCATACAAATTGCTAGTGGGGGGGGGGGGACTGCCTTGTCTCCACTGCTGATGTTTTCTTGCGATTAGCACAACAGCCCGTCTTTCCCCTACCAACCGCTCACTCCTGCCAAGAGGGTGAAACTGATTTGTAAGTTTGGCAAGTATAGCACAGAGCCCTCTTCAGTCTTTCCCTCTTGGAAAACCCCCCTGTCTAGTACAAAAGGTTATTGAACCTTAGGGAGGTTGAGTGCATTGTCCAAATTTAGACAGATAATGAGTCATAGAATTTGCACTCAGGTCTCTGACTACAAAGATCATGCTTTTAACCATTTCATTATATTGGCTGCCTACTAAGTAATATATTAACATAAAATAAATTCTGAGTTGTATGGTACTGCTAAGAATACATTAGGAATTCAGGGAAGGGGCTCTTCTATAATGGTCTAAGAACCAGGAGGCAGGTTCTTACCAGGCACTGAATCTGCGGTTCGGGATGACTACACAGAAGACTCTAGGGGCAAATTCCAGGGTGCCTGGGTGGCTCAGTTGGTTAAGCATCTGCCTTTGGCCCAGGTCATGATCCCAGGGTCCTAGGATTGAGCCCTGCATCAGGCTCCCTGCTCAGCAGGGAGTCTGCTTCTCCCTCTTCTGCTGCCTTTGCTTGTGCTCTCTGTCAAACAAATAAGATCTTTTTTTGTTTTGTTTTGTTTTGTTTTGTTTTGGAAAAGACTCCAGGGGTGAACTCCTGCTAAATTCTCTCTGTGTAAACTCCAGGGGCTGATACAGCTGACTTAGCACTGACCTCTTTCCAGGCACTAGAAGAGGTGTCTGTTGCTTGCCAAGCAGAGAGCAGACTTTAACCTCAATGCCACTTGGTGAAGCCCCAGCATCCACCTGGTTTCTCCCTTGATTTAACTGCATTTTTTCAGGTACCTTTGTTGGTGTTTGCTATTGAATTCTGGGATTTATCTCATAAGCCATTCTAAGGGATGAGATGGGACAGAAAGCCTATTATCAAGCACCTGACACCTGAGAATATGTAAAGGCTATGTTAATAGCATTTCACAAAAGAAGATTATTTTTATTAAAGTATAATTTATATTCAATAAACAACATTGATCTTAAATGTTCAGTTGGATAGTTTTTGACAACTCTTCTCTGCATTTTATGTATTTAATTGTAACCACTACCCAAAACAAGAGAGAGAACACTTTTGTCACCCCAGAAACATACTGTATGATTCTGTGTGTGTGTGTGTGTGTGTGTGTGTGTGTCTGTGCCTGGCTTTCTTCACTCAACAAAATATTTTTGAGATTCACCTGTGTTGTTGCATTTATCAGGAGATTTTTTTTTATTGTCAAGTAGTAATCCATTGTATGGACGTACCACAACCTGCTTATCCATTCTCCTGTTGGTGGACATTTAGGCTATGTCTAGCTTTCTGCTTTTATGAGTAAGGCTGCTATGAAGATTCTTTGAAAGTCTGTGCTAGCATATGTTTTCATTGCCCTTTGGTAAAAACCGAGGAACGGAACACTTAGCTGACAGGGTAGAGGTAGGTTTATCATTGTAAGAAACAGCCAAACAATTCTCCGAAGGGTTGAGCCATTTTGTATTCATACCACCAATATTGCCAAGCATCTCAAAGGAAAATTTTGTGCCAAGCCAAAAGATGATGACATCTTAGTAAAGAACATCACAGTGCCTAGGGTGGGAAAGATTCTGTGGGAATAATTTGGAGGGAGGAAAAAACAGCCAACAGAGGGGAGTGGATTGGCACTCACCAAATAGTATTCACCAGGAAGCCAGCCCGAGGGGACCACGTGGGCAGCAGGCTCCACCAGGCTCCACAGCTACCAATCAAGGCTGTGTTCTCAGCTGATGACATTCATGCCACATGCCAAGCCCTCTGCCTATGATCCAAGCAATCTGGGCAACTTATTGTTTTTCCTCAAGTTGTACCTCATTGAAATTCTTTTTGGAGTATCCCTTTCAGTCACAAGTTCTCTTTCTTGTCCGGAAGCCAAGACCGTGAAGCTTAGTATAGCAGAGCTTTTTGAATTTGTGCTGTGGGCTTCACCTCTAGCTGGAGTATCAAAGCTGGCTCACCTGCCCCAGCTCCTGATCGGCTTTCCCTTGGCTTCCATGAGGTTGAGAGCAAGTGATTGTTCATGTTTTTTTCTTCCTCCCCCCATGTGACTTTTAGCAAGGTTTCCATTTGTTTTTTATGCTACGATATTTAAGGGAGGGCAAAGCCTTGGCTCTGTTTTAAAATATTTCCATTTTAAGACAAAACTTCATTCTCTCCAAGTCTTTCTTTTAGTTTATCACGACAGAGATAAAAAATAGTGTGGCCTCGCCCCCAAAGGAATCAATCTTAACTTTCTTCAGGATCATCCACGCCTAATCATATATTCTATGATATGAGTAAAAATTCTTACTAAAGTAGCTGACCAGTGGTCCTCATTGTTTAGCCAAATTCTAGATGAGCTGGTGAGGACCCCAAATTTGGGCACAACCAGGTTTCAACATCTATTGCCCTTATTTTGTTCCTCTAGTTGGCACTCACTGCAAGTGCTCAAAACACAAGCCCTCATTTTTTTCTTCACCCTTCCCTTACAATGAAGGATTTGTCCCTCCTTTCAAAGGCAAATTCATCCACATGTGTTTTGCATCCCACTCCATCCTGCCTTCTCAGAGGATGTGTTTAATTGGTTATTACCTGCAGCCAAAATGATTGTTCTAAATTCAGGTTTCTCCTTCCACAGTATGGAGTTGATGCCAAGAAGTAGTTGCCCAGCCAGAGACCATGTTCCCCAACCTCCCTTGCCCTTTAGTTGAGGCCACACGATGAGTTTTTGTCAATATAGTGTGATCAGAAGTGATGTGGATTACTTCTTGGCCCAGCAGCTTAAAAAGTAGGAGTGGTTCTTCCCCCTTCTGTTCCCTTGATTAGAGGGGCACAGCAAACATGTAACCCATATACTAAAGATGAGGGGACACAAGATGGCTGGAGCTGGAGCAATTATATATTGCTGGATCCTTTTGTCACAGTGGTCATCATTTTTTTTTTTAAATTTTTTATGATAGTCACACAGAGAGAGAGAAAGATAGAGAGAGGCAGAGACACAGGCAGAGGGAGAAGCAGGCTCCATGCACCGGGAGCCCGACGTGGGATTCGATCCCGGGTCTCCAGGATCGCGCCCTGGGCCAAAGGCAGGCGCCAAACCACTGCGCCACCAAGGGATCCCGCACAGTGGTTATCATTAATCATTACCCCCAACTAGCATCTTATTTTTTTTTTTTTTTACATCTTCCACATTTCTCGCTAGTGGAATCTATCTGCAGACATAACCAAGCATCTCCCATCTGACAGACAACACCCCCCTCACCTTGCTAAACACCTTCCTTTGACTCC